GCTTTTTATTAGAATACTTGTGCAGTCTGTAAGCTAACCAAAATATTCATAAACCAAAAACACCTAATTTTATATATAAAATATTGTCTTATTATTTGTGCAGAAAACAACATAGAGTACTGTGTCCTATGCAGACAAAGATAATTTGATTTAGTACAAAAAACAGCATACAGTATCATGAAATACCAATATGGAACCAGGTTTCAGCCTTATGTACCACTACTTAATGTATGAACAATTCTGATATGTACACTAAGTAGAGCTTTAGAATATATACTGTATATATTATAGTGCATATAATTAGGGGATGTTAAAATGTTCTAATAAACCTTTCTACTTTATTTCCAGCACCAGTATCACCCAGCTTTGTGAATGGGATTGATGAACATGTGTCTTTACATAGTACTCTGCATATTCTGCTTTACATACTGTACATTAAAAAACCCAACGGAAATAAACTCAAATAGTTCCAAACAGACAGGCAGAATAACAATATGATAAAGACACAACAAGGAACAAAACACATAGACTGAGAGAGCTGACCAATCCCCCGAATCTCATTTGATAGCAATGGTGTGACAAATACCAATGGTTGTGTTAGGAATTAACACCCTACACAGTAAAGAATCCAATACAAATTAAGCCAATCAGCGAATAATAGTGTTTAAAACAGCCAAGACAGAAGAACTATTTTAAGAGACCCACTTGAATCTATACAGCAAGTACAATGTCTAGGATATTAACTGAAGAAAGTTTGAGACAATGAAATAAAAGGCTTTGAAAACAAGTTAAAGAACACAACTGAGTTGATAAAATAATTCTACTGTACAGTAAGTTGTCTACGAGTTGGGATTATGATAAAAATCTAATTATAATGTCAATCTTTCTTATTGTATTTGATGAGTTAAAGTGTACATAACTTAATTTTATATACTTTTTGCTAACATATGGTGAATTTGATTGTTGTACAATTTCACCTTAAATTACATACCCCTGAAAGGCACTGTGCTATCAATGTAAAAAATGAACTACAGTATGTATTGCCAGCCAACAAGGTTAGGTATTGTAAAAGAACCTAAAGTAGGCAAACTCCAAAACTCCCATAGTTTTCAGCCTCATAGCACAACAAACAGACCCCAGTCCTATCATTACAATGATATCTGATTGGACAAAATGAGGAGCAGCAATGCTGAATTCAACAGTGCTCTTGTTCTTGGAAATCAGTTGAGACCACAGGCCAGATATGACCCCAAGTACACTCTGTCTGTCTCTCCTTAGAACCTAATAGAAGTCCACTGTGAGATGAGGTTTCAAGTACCAGAGATGCCTGTGTCTGATCTGTTTTTTGTCTTGTAGTGCATGAAATACTGAAACACAATACATCCCACTGAAATTATCAAGAAAAATTAGACTATAAACCCACATTTTACTTTCTCAGTTTTAATGTCAGAAGTTTTAATGTCAGAAGTTTTAATGTCATTTATGGTGTTTATGAGGCATCGCTTGAAATTTCAAAATAATATTGCAAGATTTATGTTACTATCATTTGATATTGTATTCAATATCTCTATATTATATTCAACTACAATGCCAAATTACATTGAGATCTTAAATTTTAAAATGTGTTTAAAAATCACATTTATGGCTTTTTACACACCATTAACTACCTTTCTTCTTCTAGTAAAAAAGAGTAACACCAAAAAGGGCACCATGAAACACAAATGTCCTTGTGTTTTTATGTTTCAGCTTTTAACATATTTACGTTTATTTAAGGGATACACATTGCATACTACAAGTAGCCCCAGTTAAACACTAAAGGATCTCGAGGATAGGGCAGTTTTATTGTTTCATACCTCAGGCATTATTAGTATGTACACACAACTCTTTCTATAAAAGCACCTTCTCACAATCCAATCACAATGTACCAAGTATGTGTAAAGTAAATTTTGAGTGTTCTAAACCAAAAAGATGTTTAGAAAGCAGGGAAGGCAACGTGACCTAGTATGTTTCACCTCTCTGAGCAGAATGTCCTGCTTTGAATAATTTTAATTATTCACACAAGAGCACAAACAGAAAGCATATCCATTCCCTTCAGCACTGTTTGTCATTGCTGCCTAGCAGCATGATTTCCCTCTAGGCATGCTGGGGAAGGTTTCTTTATTTACAGTTATTCACTATTGCATGTTTCTGTTCATGAGCTGGACTTTGCTTCTGGATTTGTGAATAAGACTAAAATAATCCAACATGGGATATTACACAAGTAAAGACAAACCATAAAACGCAGGTGTGGTGGCTTTCAAGGTAGACAAAATGCAAGGAAACTAATTGTCCTAATAGGGGCAAATATATATTCAGTATGTAAATAAACCAATAACTTAAGAAAGTAATCAACATAAGATTAACATAATGATTTTCAAAGCCTATTGATCATAACGAATATTGGCTCTGAAAGCAATTGCAATTAAAAAATATTGTTATTGGAATGAGACTGAGAAGATTTTTTGCTTCAGCAAAAAGCTTTTAAGGTTGTGCTCTAACTGTTTTATGTTTATGATTGGATGGGAGTCATCTTTAGTTTTCACCTTTTTCAAAACTGAGTAGAGGTGGTTCAATGTTAAAATGTCATTTTTAGTCCATAGAGTGCTAATGCCATGTAACCCTCAGCCCCTTCAAGCTGAATGTAAACTATATGAAAAACACCGGTCTGGATGAAATTTAAAACTGACACAGTGGTTAGCAATGCCACCTTGCAGCACTGGGGTTCAACTTCTAGGGTGCTAGGGTGCTACAGTATCTGCATAGAAGTTGTTTACTCTGCTGGGGTTTATGCAACTAGTGCCTTGGGTTCCTCCCACACATCAAAGCCAAACTCCTAAATTAATCTGCTTCTGGGAATAGTGGCCCTGGTATGAATGTGTGCATGTCTGTGTCTCTCTGTGTTTTGCTATGAACTGGTCCAGGGTGTATTCTGCCTTGTGCCCCCCATTGCTTGCTGGGAAAGAGCACAGCAACCCCATGACCCTGTAATGAATAAAGTGGTTAAAAAATGGATGGTTTGAGTGGATGATGTCTTCAACTGTTTGTGAGAAGCTTCTATTTATTTGTTGTTGATCTGTCATCAAATACTGGTTTTGCAAAGTGCATTTGGAGGTGGGATTGAAGTCTTGATTTGATACTGACCAAAAACATGTCTCAAAGGTAAGCATAAGAGCTCTAGTGAATTTTTACTTAAAGGGACTAAAGGAAATTACTTATCACAAAGAGTTAAACTCTAAGATATGTCTCTTTTTTAAAACAATACAGCAATGTGGAGTAGTGGGTAGGTTTCTAGTGCATTAGGGAAAAACACAGTTAGACTCTGTGTTTCCAGCAGGGCCATCTCTGTCCTGGAGACCACAATGTAAAGCAGGATGTTTCTAACCAATCAGGGAGAGCATTGCAGAGGCTGTGCAAGGGCTGTGTTGTCATCCCATTGCAAAAAAGACTAGGTAGTCCTTGCGCCAAGAACTCCAACCATGGGAAAAGTGAAAAGTATTGGCAGGAAGTCTGTACATGGATAATAGCTGAGGATTCTGACAATGACACAAACCTGGTTCATGCAACGTAAACTTTCTCTGCTGCAGTCAGGGTGGGTGTGGGAGATCCACCCTGTGTGCAAAGTGCTCTATAATATTTTTAGGCAAATGCAACACAATCATGCAAGTTTGTCAGATATGTAATGTTTATGTGCCCTTCTCATTGCATAATTGCAATATTTCTGGAGGTTATTTTTGAGCCCTACCATCTGAAACATACACTGCACATTAGCACTATTAAAAAATTAATCTTAGCTCATTTATAATGAAAATTAGAGGAATTGTTGTACAAATGGAACTACTTCGAGGAACATAATTTTAATATTTATGGTCTCTAAGACAGCATTGGAATTTCAAGAAACCAGTCCTTCATTCCTAATACCTGCCAACTATGTCCATTAACATACCAAACACTGACTAAGCAATTTATCTCACTGAGCTTTTATTAGCTTAGAATAGTCTGTTCAGCTTTAGTTTTCAATACCATCTTTTGAAAGTGACATTTTCAGTAATGAGTCAACAAACTGTAAAACAACATGTCAAGGTATCTGTCCTTTTATGAGACAAATGTCATTTAATTTTATGCTGTGTAATTATGGGAATATTATAAGGAAGTACAATTTGCTTATAGTAAGTTGCCATAAAAATCTAAAGCTCAATTTAATAATGTGGCTGTGAATTTCAGCTTAATATACACAAATCATTTGGTAGAGTACTCTCAAATTTCAAGGCTAGGTTTAAACCTATCAAAATGGATAAACCCCTTCGGTTTGTTGTTCATACAGGAATTCCTCATATAACAAAGCAGAAAACCAAAAAATCTGTTTCAACAAATCCACTGGGTTTGCAAGAAAAAAGCATACTCTATGTCTCTGCTAGTCTATATCAAGTGTTGGCCCTGAATTCAGGCAACACAAGTTAAGATTATAGGAAACACACACAATTTAAAAATATTATAACAATGATTTGTAAATTTAAAAAAAATGTTGACTGATCATAAAGCTTTATATGATTTTAAATTCCCCCCATTCTATTTCCTAGTTTAACTTGCAGCATGTTAGCAGTTTTTGACCTAAACTGAGAGAATGGAAAATGTGTAAATGCTTATACTGTACAATGAAATAAAGCAGGGAATGCAAATGAAAGTGACTTTAACAGATTCATATAAGAAGGCTTCTTTAGCTAATTTTTCTTTTTAAATTTAAATCCATTTCCCAAATAAAACAAGACATTGCCTTAGTGTAGCATTTGCATTAAACAGCTTAAAGAAAAAAAAATATTGCACTTTAAATTTTGGCGACAATTAAGATCACACTGTTAATGAAATCAGATCAATATGCAACCGTGGAATTGGTGTAAAATCAGAAAATCAGAAAAGGCTTAACAGTGACTTAAAAACGCAGAGAAAAAAAAGCCATAACTTACAACAAGATTTCCTATCACCATGACCAGCATGAAGACAAGGATGCACAGGGGCTGCCCAGCCACTTCCATACAATCCCACATGGTTTCAATCCATTCCCCACACAGGACCCGAAAGACGATGAGGAAAGAATGGAAGAAGTCTTTCATGTGCCATCGGGGCAGAGTGCAATCCTTAGAAATCTTGCAGACGCAATCCTGATAGCTCTTTCCAAATAACTGCATTCCCACCACAGCGAAAATGAAGACTATGATAGCTAGAACCAATGTCAGGTTTCCCAAGGCACCTACTGAGTTTCCAATGATCTTGATCAGTGTATTCAAGGTGGGCCAGGACTTTGCGAGTTTGAAGACCCTCAGCTGCAAAACAGAAATAATACATTATCAGGTGAAGAAATTTCTACTCCAAAACAACAAGAAAGTAAGTCCATCCATGACTGGGGCATAGCCACGCCATGCTAATGAAGGGCAAATCCTAAACTAGCAGATACAGGGCTTGAGCTGATTCCTCCCCCAATTCCCTTCCTTTGGTGCTCCAGAGCCACTGAGAGTCCTCACACACACATGCACATGAGCACAATTTAGAGACAGCAGTTGGCCTATTTAGCATGACTTTGAAAGATGGTCTGAAAACAGAAAATAATCACACAAACATGGGGAGAACTACTAATGATAAGAGCTGGCACTGGGTACATTCGAACAAGTGAAGCCACATACAGTAAAACAAAGTTATGATGAGTGATATGTAATAACAGGGGGATTTACTAAAGACTTGCTAACGTTAACTGTTTCTTCAATTTTAAACAATATTTGAGGAAGCAAATGATGTTGGAAAACAACAGCTCAAGCCAACACAATTATATACAGTACATTTAAAAATGCAACAGTATTGGATTTAATTGTCATCGATATATTATAGAATGAAAATTCTGTTTATAATATCTGTCTGATCTTTTCAGTGGGGTTATTTTCTAAGTTCACAAATAAATTCAATTGAAATGAAGTGCAAAGTAGCAGTTAATTCAATAAATCAATATTAAGTCTGCAGACTTATTATTTCCAAAAAGTAAAATAACATCTAAATGTAAATATTTAGCAGAAATTGGATACCTTTGTTTATTCTGTAACTCTATGGTCAGTGGAATCAAGTAATAGTTTAATTATAGATTTATTATTATTATTAATAATAGTAGTAGTAGACAATTAACTTTAAATTAATCTCTAAACATCTAAGTGACTCTTCATGAATCCTTCCATCCCATTTCTAACCACTTCATCCAATACAGGAACACATAGAAGCCAACAAGCAACTGGCGCAAGGCACCAGCTGGGCACACACAGACAGAAACACGCAAACTCACACCAGGACCAGTTCTCCAAGAATCCAATTAACCTGCCATTATGTCATTGGACTGTGGGAGGAAACGAGAGCACCAAGAGGAAACCCACGTGAACATATGGAGAACATACACACTCCACACAGGTAGCACCACAGGAACCCAGGGCCCCAGACTTGCGAGACAGCAATACTAATCACTGCGCTTTCGTACTGCCTTATTAATAATACGTCCAGTGAAAATATTGTGAAGTTGTAAAAATGTATTTTATTTTTTTACTGAATGATTAAAGCTACAGTATTTCATATATAAGTATTTCATATACAGTATGCATGAGGCTCACATGCATTATATAAGTATGTATATGTTAATTTGCTGTTGATTGCTTGACTTAAGTTTTTTGGGATTTACATAATGTTTTTTCAGGACAATTGTTTTTGTAAACCCTTTCATTGCATATTAGCTTTGAGGTGAGAAGGAAGATTGAGAATGTGAAATTACCAGTCTGAATGAACGCAACACTGACAGTCCTTCCACATTTGAGAGACCCAGCTCCATCAAGCTCAGGCTGACAATGATGCTATCAAATATATTCCAGCCCTGCTGGAAGTAGTAGTAGGGATCTAGGGCAATGATTTTGAAAACCATCTCTGCTGTGAAGATTCCAGTGAACACCTGTAAAAATAAGCAATGTCCTCAATAAGAAATAGCATTCGCTTCAGGTTATTGATATTTTGTTACTGACAAGGTCTGTGGTAGATGAAAATTATGACATGATAGGGAGAACAAAAGAGGGTAAATGAAAAACGATATTGTACAGCACAGAAATTCAAACCTGAAAACCAAATCAATTGGAGAAGTTCAAAAATATTTGTTTCATTCACATTGTTGGTATATTCACATTAACAGTCTTTCAAGTGAAAGACTGCTTCATAGTGTGTAGCTGTTAAGTTCAGACCTGTGTCTATTCTGCAGTAGCAATCATACTAATGTGTATTCTGAAAATGGAACTATCCATTATCAGAAATTCACTTATTGTTGGTAGGGGTGCAGGATATTCAAAGACTAAGTTACATTGTTTTTTTGTTTATTGTGGCTGCAGTACTTATTTTATTCTAGGTTTTTAGACCTTGAACATATAGAACAAAAATTTCAATCACAATTTGAAAGATAAAATTGTTTATAATATATTTGCATTTTCATAGTCTGACGTGCAGAGAGATAAACTGTACAAATACACAATTACTAGATCACACAGTTGCATGACAAAGACAAAATGTGAAAGCTTTATCCTCACTGATCAGGGCAAATATCCTCTTTTTTACTCTTAATTTCGGCTTTAACAACATATTCATCATTCCTGGTCAGATTGTGCTGGCAAAAGCAGTCCTAGTATCTTGTTTTACAATTTCAGGCAAGAGAAAATGATGTCCTGTTCTTTTTTATGCTCAAAAGCTAAAATAGTTGATATAACTGCAGTTTTGCAACATGCAGCTGCAGCACTCCAGTTCTGTTTGTTGTTCTTCAAAGCTACATTCCACAATCTGACACCAGATACGTGACACAAAGACACCCATTCCAGAAGGAGCATCTGCTGTTAAGTCTTTCCTACAATATTATGAAGCAGAAAATGTGCAGACTACAACATCTAAATGAGATCACTAGGCTTCTGTTTTTGCTCCAGTACCTTCAAGGTGGTTTTGTTCACTTCACATTTAAATTTTTTTAATTAACCCTGATTTGGTAAAAATGGAACGCTTCAGCCCACCGAACTGTACTGTGGCATGCTCTAAAATGAGGTTTGCAAAGTCAGCTTTATTTTAAAATTAATATGCTTTGTGTTTAATGTAATATATATAATGAGTTTTATAATACTGTGTATCCTGTCATTTATATTTCCTTTATGTACTTGTTCAATCATATCTTTAAGTATGGATTTTAAATGTTCTACTGCATAGTAAGTAAGGACCACTATTCTTCTGTGAATGGGAGTGTGCTAAACAAATATCAATCTTAAGTTTTAATACAGTATATTCTTAGTTAAGCTGTTCCCAACTGCTATTCATTCCTTGAGATTTTCAATAGCATGGGAATAACACTCAAATTATGCCGTTCCTAGGAATTATATAAAAGACCTTTCATAGTTTTTTGAGTTTTGTTTACTTTCACTAATTTGAAAATTTAAGAAAACACATCTTTACGTTTCTAAAGATTCAAGCTTTTCCATGATCTCAGCAGATTCATTTTGTGCTCTTGGAAAGCACTCAAGTGCAGACCTCTCAGGATTTATTGTTCAATTGCTTGTTAATTTACTGGTACTTTAATTAATACTCTCAATGTTTCAATAAAATTTGAATGTACACACTCAAGATCCACCCATGGGGAAAAAAGTAATTCTTCTTTAAAAACTATTCCAATGGCTAAACGCCCACATACTGTATTGTCGATCAAACACTCTATGATGTGTGCACCAGTACTCAGAAGGTCATTTTACATTTATCCTTAGATCTATTGAAAACTTTCCTCCCTCAACAGTAGTAATTAGAAGTCTATAGGAAAAGTATATACACTGTAGTTATTAAATCACAAAAATCACAACAAAGGGATATTTTGTGGCATAAATGAGAAGAGAGACTGATTATAGCGAGTTTCAAAAAGCACATTTCTTTATTTTTAAATGGAATGTTTCTGTAGATGAATTGAGTATTATAATGTACTGTTAGTGTCCAAGACATGTTCATATTTCACCATACTAAAGACAATGGCTTGGAAACCCAGTACACTAAAGCTCCATTAACTTTTTACCTGAGTACTGTAGGTGCCACTGAATTGTTAATTCTCTTCTCTAGAATCTCTGCATAAACATGTGAAACCATCATAAGATCTGCTGGAACATTCTTTGCTCGCATAGCAAGTTTAAACAAATTCTAAGCTTTCCAATATTTACTGTATGTTTAATCATATCATTTAATAAATGGTAACCTTGAAAATACTACATTATTTGATATGGATATGCAACAACTACTGTACAGTATGTTGATTTTCTTGTAAAGAGCCTTATAGCATAGTGGGGTCAGGTGTCACATGTGTTACATCTGGCCCCAAACCTAGGAGGCATTATTCATTCTCATGTCCTTACAGAAAATGACAAAACAAACTGCATCTTTTAGTATGTCTTATAGGATCAGACATTAATAATTACAAAGATAAAATCTTGGGTCCATCATCTGAGAAACAATATATTTGTTTCTGAGAAGGAAAACAGAATAAAATGTCACACCCTCACTTTAGATGTGTCAGTTGCCAGGCTGCTAAACTAAGAATTTGTACACAGATTGTCAAGTCTGTGAGAATTGTTTGTGGCTGAAAAAAAAAAGAATGGTATTTGAGCTGGACCGCTGTTGCATCTGTACAACGTCCTTCCTACTTCACAACAGCTTAGCAAAATTCAGAGCCTGTGATTTTGTTACGTGAAGTGTGACACTCTTTTGCCTTTGGTAATATATTAAAAATCCCACTGTACTTTTTTATTAAACATTTATTGACAGTGTTATCAAAATTGTGTTTTAATTCAATATATTCCTCACACGCAATAGCATAATCAAAATAACAAACAAATTCTGTAACTTTTGTTTTATTTACTTTCTTTCAGGCTGTGGACAGTTTTTCGTCACCTATGTATTTATTCAAGAATGGATATTTTTACACTACTCATTCATTTGATTTATTTATCTTATATTTGATTTCTACTTGATGCATTAAGTATATACAATATTTCCCAAATCACAAAACATATGTTAATAAATAACTTTGTTATTAACCACAGAATTACCACAGATATGCACTGTAAGACAATAAATGGGAAAACAAATGAAGAAACTGAACTGGTGTGGAGCATTTAATTTTGTTTGGAACTGGATAAACTCTTGGTGTTGTTAATAATACAAGAGCCTGCCTTCTTTCAGGGCGTCACCATCACTAAAACAGTGAAAAGCTATTTCAGGCTAAGAAATGTAAACAATTTGACCTCATCTCACAATTAACAGTTTATCCTTGGAAATAATTCAGAGGCCACTGAGGAAAAGTTTGCACAAAGGAAAAAGAACACAACTACACGTTTTAATATGTAGCTTTTGAAAGTGTAGAAATAATATGTTGCGTGTGGAGACACTTCTTTCTTTTTTAATGGTACAGATCCTGCATTGAAGACTTTAATAGCTTCATATACCAACAGTTATATAACAATTACACCACTTTTGTCTGGGTGCTTATAATGGAAATATATATATATAATTAAATCTGTTACTTTACTTAACTGAGGAATCCATGGGACTAATTCCTAACCATCCTCTAGAATGTAATGATTATCCTACTTATCCTGTTTATGCTCCCCTCATAAACATGGCATGTGGAAGGATAAGGTCATCAGCAATCATGGGGTAAGCACGACCCCAGTACACGCATTCAGCTGATTGTAAATTTACACTCTAAAGCTATTTCAATGGTGAATTGTTAAAAATAGCTTTGTTACAATCAGGCTAATATGCTTCCTAATGCTCAGCAAAAATAAAAATTATTTTATAAATTACATTTTAAATTGTGGTATTTGCACTTACTGTATATAGGTACGTGCACTGGTTCAGTACGTCTTACTCTAAGTAAAGGCTTTAACAATGTGAAAAGTGACATCAAAGCACGAGTGAAAAGCTTCTTCAAAGGGTGTAACACATTTACAGTGAAATGTAGGATATTTTTCTGCCCATGCAGTATTTCACATCATAATCATTTACTGTTAACAAGCAATGAAAATGCTTTGACATTTTACTTGTATAGGAAATGAGTTGCACAAAGATCTTGCCAATGAGAAAAATCAGACGTGAACTTCCTGATGTTTACTTTATTATATCTATTCCGTATCCGTGTGTTAAGAGACCGAACTATTTTTTTTCCATATATGTAATGCTTCCAGGAGCGACATCATCAAAGCCTTACCAAGTTCCCGACAGACAGCATGCTGTTGAAATCGTCCGTCATTGGATGGTGCTCTAATGCCATAAAGAGAGTGTTGAGTACAATGCAAATAGTGATAGCTAGATCAAGAAAGGGGTCCATCACTCCAAACTTCACCCACTCTTTGATTTTCAGCCACAGAGGACAGCAGTCCCAAATCAGATAATGCTGTGCAAACCGATACCAGCAAGGATGACACTTCTGATGAGACTCTTCCAGTTCTAAAAGAAGGAAATTAAGACAATTAAGAGAAATAGGAATGCATTTTTCATCTCAATCTAGACAAATTTTAAGACTTACAAAGCTTATCAAACAGATAAGGAAAAAATACTCAGTGTAATCCTGCGTCTTTGAGGCAGAGTACATCTTTTGATTTATATGCTCCCCTGTGGAAAACAGAGCATGTGCACACAATGGTTCAAAATCCATAGTATTTTTTAAATTAATACTTGCTAAATGCATTGCATGACCCAGCTCAAGTTTTATAATCCCCTTAGGTTAAAAAACAGTTTTAAAGAAACAGAAAATATAGAAGCGTACATGTTAACATTCACATGGAGAAAAAGCACCCATTACCCTCAAGAGAGTCTTTTTCAAGTAAAAAGGCTTGTGCTAAATCTGAAAATGGCTAACAAAGGAAATTGTTAACTCTGTGTAAAATGATACATACCTGCACAGTGTTAGCACTGAAAAAAAAAACAGATTACTGTATGAGCTGTTGTGTGGGTGTACTCTTTTAATGTGTTACTGCTTTGCCTGACTAACTTTAATTAGCCTGCTGTTGTACAGTTTGTCTGCTTAACAAAATCCCACAATATTTTCATATACAGTACAGTATATACATATAAATAGTTTGATTATGGACTGGCCTATGCTTAAAAATATAAACTTACTTTATACTGTATGAATGCTGGAGAAGCATTACACAATAAAGTTGCACACTACACTAAAGTAAACATTAAGAGCTTTATTTATCAACTTTGACTAATTTACCATTTCTGAGAGAACAACTGTATAGTTCCACGACAGACGGATACTAGTTAGAGCACCCAAGCTGTTATTTTATGTCTCTTACTCCATATTCTTACTCTATAATCAAGGAAAATCCTAATTTCCATGTTGATGGATACTGTATACAGTAATGCATTAGTGCTGTGCTGCTTATAGGTATAAAGTGAATTGACTAAAATCAGAAGCTCTTCCCCTTTCTACAAATTGCTCTGGTAACGAATATAAAAATGACACCTTTAGATGGTCTAAACAAGGGATTAAGTTCTTGGGTAATAAGATGTTAGGAAATAAAAAAAATATGTTCACTAATCAGCACTAAATAACAGTATACAGTATGCAATAGACTAAAACAACTGTTGAATGATTTTGAATCATTTTAGTTAATATTTAGAATTTATGTGTATAGACATTTCAAATAGAATATTTTATGTGTAAATCTGACAAAATATGTATAGCTTTTTCTAAATGTATGATTATCACATTCATTTATACCTCGGCAATCAATATTCTGTGAACTCTGTTTTGACTTTGATAGCTTCAAGCACTGTAGATGCTTCCCGTAACACTTTTAATAGGTTCTTTAACTCTTGAGGGATATTGGACCACTCCTACATGCAGAACCTCTCCAGCTCCTGCTGTATGACTGCTGTATGAAGTTGTATGACTTTCTGTGGTAAAATGGATTCTTCAGCTCATACTGTAGATGTACTACTGGACACAGTGACAGCCAATCAAGAACAGCAGTTTTTTTATGCATAATCATCCATCTAGTCAACCCCATGTGTGGGTTTTATTGAAGAAGGTACCAGTTTTTGACTAAAAGAGTAACCTTTAGAAACAGTTCTTCTGTTGTAATTAGGACATCAGGACAGGAAAATGCAAAGCGATTTTCAAGCGTAACAGATACATTTCTACTGATCAGACAAGAAATGGCTATTTTTTTTAACACAAGATTTACCTTTCTGTGCTAATTACACAGCTGGTGTTTAACAGCCTGTGTGAGTCAAGTTGACTTGGGCATCATTAGCTGCTACAGTATGTAGCAAATACATGCATTTTCTTTACACCTCATCAATGAACTCTACTTCAGACACTAAATTTATGATGTCACCCTCAAATGACAGTTTTAGAGATATACAATGAATGTGAGCTACAGTAGTCTCCCAAACCCCTTTTCTGACATTATGGTAAAGCTATCTTACATCCCATTCCTGTTTGTGGAACAGTCTTCCAAATATTATTATACACTAAGGATGGACATCACAGCTGAAATTGGGTTTTCTTATGGAGTTTTCATAGCTGTCACTAGAGCTGCTGAAGACAATAAACCTTTACACTTTCCCCCCGATGACGTACTGGGTGCTTTGCTTATGTGTTCAGGCTCTGTGAATACCCAGTGACTATTAAGCCTACTTCCAGGTTCCTATAAACTTTCTGGGTCTTTGACAAAATACCACAAACTTATATTTAGAGTATTTATTTTTAATGCTTTAACATATACCATTGTATAAATATATTAAGATTAAATGCATTACTAATTGAAATATTTTCTTGTCTGTACTTGTAAAAAGCAATTACGTATTAAAAAAAAACAAAGTGTGACATTGAAAGGTTGGATCCAGTACAAACATGCTATACTATTTATTGTTCAGGTCTTAGAATTAAAGTCTATTTTTTAAAGATCTTGATTTACTCATTATTATTGATGTACCCAAATTATGCTTGCTGTATATTTAAAACAGATTGCATTAAAAAATGTCAGAAACAACAGACCTTAAGGTTCAGTGACTCTTATGGTGTGCATTCTGGCATTGTTTCCGCCTGTATAAACATAAGCTTTGCCAGATTTTATTGATTTTGGAAAATGTACCCAATACTAAGCCTCCTGTAAACACATCTTTCATCAGCTATTGTTTCCTGACTGCAATGATCTCTGAAATTCTAGACAGGTATAATATTACCAACATTTCATTGTCAAAGCACAAAACAACACAGAACTGAAAGAGCAATAGCTTAAATACAATCCTCAACAAATATTTTTATTCCTTGTCAAAAGGTAAACAAATTTTACTCATCAGCCTTCAGAGTGAATGATTAGTTTCTGCCTCCATATTCTTGTCATTTTAATTACACTTCAGGACATTGCCACCTGTTTCTACAATGATTGTAGTCCACCGCTACAACGTAAACAGTGGTTAACCCATTTAAGAAATGTTTGCATGTTTTTTAACTTGAATATCTGAAATTAGGATTACATTTCATTGCAATTGTGTTGTGTTCTCTTGTCATCCCCACTGAACTGCAATGCAATTTCATTTCTGAAAGGGACGTTTTCATGAATTAGTAAGCATTCTACTTTATTTTTTTTATTTTATTGGAGACGAGCGTACATCCTCTGTCTACCTGGTGAATTAATGTTTTTAGATGTAATCTCTGTGTTACAAAGCTACCCTTTTCTGTTAATATGGGAAGGATCTAGCTTGGCTGGCCATAAACATGAGTACTTTAAGGGTCACAATTTCATTTATTAATATTTCCAGTCAATGAGATTCTGCGGATTTCATTCATAATGTAGCATTGGCAAAATTACTTTTTATCATTTTGTTTCGAGTTTTCTCATGTTTCCCCACTATTTCACTTTTAATATTAAACTTTCATTTATGTTGAAAGACTGCTCATAAAAACATCAGAATGCCAATCAACTTGCTCCTATCACAGGTGCTCAGTGAAGATCAGAGGTAGAAAAATCTGACAATTTCATTATTTTCCTTTGCACAATTGTGATTCGAATTGCTCCTTCTTTCCTTGACTTTGCTTAATTTGTCTTAAAGCTGAAGATCACCAAATCTTGTAACAAATTAGCAGGAAAAGAGACTTGCAACGAAACTGCAATGAAGTACCAAAGTGCGCAGCCAGTGGCACTGACTCTCTTCAGGGAGGAAGATCGCACATTGTAAGTCTGACACACAAATGTGTCTTTTAAATTTAGGAGCTTATGATTTGAGATTGAAACTTGACAGGTCACACATATCCTTGTTGTTTGTAAGTGGTAAATATGTCTTTCGATTAGCATGCATTCTGTCCTTAATCACACAGATTATGAAATCATTTTATACATCAGATAAATGAAACAGGAGTTAGTTTTCTTTTATGCCCTGTCATTGGCAGAATCTGGCACTAAATTCTAAAAAACAGAGATGCCCCCAGGGTACAGTAGTTGTCCAGATGAGAACACCTTGCATGTAATGCTCCTGTAGCAGGACCTTTGGGCACTGACAGGACCAACTTGTCCAGATGGAGAGATGTATTATTAAATCTGAGGCTTCACTAGAAAAGCAATTTCATAAAGTGAAAATACAATATACAGTATTCCACTAGGGAATTTGGATTTTTTAATAAATATATCTATTAACAATAAACACACTTTTAAAATCAAGATATGCCACATAGGACATTACTTTGTGCAGTGCCATGAAAAAGTCTGTGAAACACCAGGTTTGTCAGTATTGTTATATACTGTATATTATACCTAAAACATAGTTAGATGTCCATGAAAGTCTTATTAAAAGATTAAGATAACCTTATTTAAGGTATAACACACAGTAAACATATTTTGATTATGTAACAAAATAATCCAACAAATATCCTCATGTGTATAAGTGAGTGAGCGCTTAGAATCAGATTGACTGGTGGCACCTCCTTGATCAACAATGACTTTAACTAGATATTTCTTATAATTTTTTTATCAGCCTCTTGAATTGGCTTTTATACAGTACATTTTGGCCTATCCTTCCTTACCGAACTTTCACATCATTTGAGGATTTCTTTGCACAAACAGCTTGACACAGGTGGGGTTTAGGTCCAGATTTTGACTTTGTCAACTCTTCCTCAGTTATTTTGTTCATTTGCTTTTATCATTATGTTCACCATGTGGCATGATCCAGTTTTGTCTCAGTTTCAGCTGACAAATAGGCTTGACATTGTGCTCCAGAGTTTGCTGATACTGTTCCCTTCAGAAATCATGACATTCCCACCACCATGCTTGACAATTGGAATGAGGTTCTCCTATAGGAAGGCAGTGCTTGATTTTTGCCGCACAAAATGATTTTCACTATGGCCGAAACGTTTGACTCATCTGTCAGTAGTGTTGAGGACCATCCAGGTCCCTTTGCCACATTTGAGACATGTAGCAAAGTTCTTTTTAGAGATACATTTCTTCCTGGTCATATTCCAATAGAAACCATTCCTATTCAGTCTTTTCTTCATGGGTGAGGCATGAACACTAACATTAGCAATAGCAAGAGAGGTCTGCAGATCCTTAAATGTTACTCTGCAGTTTTTAATGACTTCTTGGATGATCTTCTGAGTTGCTCTTGTGGAGATCTTGACATACTGTAAAGATCACTAACCTTTATGGTGAACACCAAAGCCACAAAGTTTTTGACCACTATATAGGAAAGGGATGGCCAAACATAGTTTGTGTTCCCCTTTTGTACCTAATTATTTCACCATTGAATCTGCTGACCCCCTTAATTGTGCTAAGTAAACTAGAGGTCACTTATTATTTCACTTATGCACTGTAAATGTGGAATAACACTTTTTTATGCTTCATATATGATTGCATCCTACAAAACATTGAAATGAACAAAACCCTGGTTTTGGTTGTGTAGGAAATAACCAATTTCAGTTAAACATCTTGACATCTTGATTACAAATGATAATTCCCATAAGTATATGGGGGGTAAACATACTTTTTTCAGCACCGTAGAGCTTCAGAAGGAGGAAACAGGCTGGATCATAGTAACTATGCTGCTGACCCATTGTGATAAAGAATTGTTAGAATATCTAAAATCTTTAAAATCCTCACAAACATAAGCACTTCAGAATATCTGATATTAGAGCAGAGCAGTCAGAGGCAAACATAATTTTCATAATTAATATGCAAATACTAAAGTGAAATATTTTAAATATTTTTCAGACACCACATAAAACTGTAGTGTTATAATAAAACATGAGAAATCAGAATCTTCCTGAAATTGGTTTCCTAATTTAAAAAGCCTCTTGGCCTATGGTAGAACCCGTGAAGATTTGGCTCCATAGGCCAATGGTTTCTGATTAAAATACAGGCTAGGCCAGAAGATGTTGGCTGGGCAGACATTCCCAGAGGGCAGTGCGCAAGTTGGCAGAGCATTGACGTGACTAGATTGGTTGGAAGCCAGTGAAATATTATCCCCTTGTATTCCACAATAAGGAGTTTAGGATACCTATGCTTTTTAAATTCTCTCCCAAACTGCAGTTTGTTTGCAACAGTGAAGCAGGTTCAGCAATAACTGGCTGTTGAAACATAGAATACTCTCAGTTTACAGAAGGGAAAACAGATTTTTTTTTAAAATAGGAAAATAAGTCATAGTGAGATTTAATATTTCTTACCCTCCATAGCATTAGTTAGCACACTGGCTGCACTTAGGGCTCGTTCTCTTTGAAATGGCTCCTCTAAGAACTCTGCAGCAGAAAATCTGCGAGGGTTTAACATGTTGCTTGTCTCATTTGTGCAATTCAGCATCTGCATTGGAAAAAAAGAGATCAGGTCGGAGAAATATGTACAGACTAAATCCAAAACATTAATTGGCTCCCGACAAAAATGCAATCTGATCAATATGAAAATTCAACATTCAGAATTAATTATTAACAGGTAATATGGCATGCACATACAGTACCTGTACTGTAATTTATTTACATGTTAAATACTGACTTTAACAAGTTCAACTAGGCAACTTCATGCAGGTTCATTATGTTGAGCTGCATACTGTAGTTTATTACACTGTAGTTGTTTGTATATATTATGCTGACCGTTCAAGCCATACTGTGGGGTTTTGTAAGTGTAGGAAAACCCTAAAAGAAGAAAATCTTTTAAAACAGTCCCCAAGCCAACTGTTTCTCTGTTCTTATGAGTCCACACCGAAGTTTATTATATTAAATTCTAACAGTAATTTTGTGTCAGAATTGGCAATCCTATTTTGAGCTGAGATATTGCTCCTTATTATTACAAAGCATGACATTGTTTTACTGCAAAGACATTTCCAGCTGTATGAAGAAGCTCATTCATAAAATATTATTATAATCTAAAACTGATTCAAGCATGTCAGACTTTAATTCCAAACTTAAAGAAAGGGAATAAAAGGTTTACAAAGACATAAGACAGTCAGCATACGAGTGCTCCCAAGTAGCAGTAGAGCAGTAGAGCACCTACTGAGGCCAATAGCCCAGGTTCCTGGCTCAAGCCATTATCAAATAGAGAGCACGGTTTCCTACAGGGCAGGACATAACTGTGCAAGTGCCATGAGAGATGGGAAGGCTTATGGACCAGCCTAACTGGGAGGGTTTCCTTTTTTCCCCTGGGACCTGGCTTTGCAACTGCAAACCTGCAGCAATACCAGTGGGACATCACCACTTCTCTGATTGGAGCTAACACAGAGCTACCAGGAACTGTGGAGTCTCTGCCCAGGTCTCTGCCAAGGGAGGTGGTTGAAGGTAAGCATTTAAAGGACTTCATTCATCCTGTGCAGCATAAGAGTTGCAGCAATGAGCTGAATAATTGCCAAAACACTGGCAAACCTAAACTCAGTGAGTACAAAACCACAAACTGAAAGAAGTAGCTGGAGATTCCTACAGTATATTTAAATAATGTAAATATATGAACATAGGAAGCGCATCTGCCTCTGAGTTTAAAATCAAGCGGGTATATACGAATTCTCAGGACCATTTTTGTACAAAGGTTCTCAATAAATACCATTATAATGCTGTACAGGGCAAGCAATAAAATAATTCTAAAAACAATCTTCAGGTTATTAAACTCCTACAAAACCTAAAACCCAAGGACATTCATCCTGAATAACTTCTGCCATTCTGTCAGATGTCAGTTTCTCCAAAGAGGAGTTTTTGTTTTCAATCATTTGTTTCTCTTTTGCTGAGAGCAACTGCAAGCATAAAGTCTAAAGAGACAAGAAACCCCTTTTGAAAGACATCCTAATTGAAGTTCTTTATTTAAACTAAATCTTTATGGAGCTGTCTCTGGATACAATTAATTAAAAATAAACTAATAGAAATCTCTGTGTCAGAGAAAAAAAACACATTTCTATATTTAATTGGCTACACTACTTCAGTTTGGAAAATAAATACATACTGTATAATGTACCAAAAAGTCACTTGTTTCAGATACAGTATATACCAGGAACATACAGTAGGTTCTCTTTGGGCTTAAGATGTGAACAATAACATGTGCTAAGTACACTTCTAAATGATGATTTTAAACGCCTGTTGTTGACTTCTTATCAATCTCACATTTTGAAGTCACAAGTCAAGTCAATTAATTTTACAAGTGACTACAGAGCTTTTAGCCTTGCTGTAGATAGCACTGCACAGAATAAATTGCTGCTGAACTGACTCATGCCTGACATCAGTGCCCAGCATTTCTCAGAATACCAACCCAAGAAACAGAAGAGGATTTTTAATTGTACCTTATTCCATGGTAATGGATTGAATCCATAAAGAAGCAGGGGGTTTTCAGTAAGTGGTAGTTTCGCATAGAACATTAGAGGCAAAAATGCCTTAAAATATTTTTCATTTCACTATTTCGCACACAGCATTTTTTCCATGAACATTTTATTTTGAACCTATCCCAGCACCTCACTTTACCAGTAAACCATCACATTATCAAATGCCTTCTGATTCATATGCTGATAAGTGCTTGATGTAAATGGGACACATTATAAGACTACATGCCATTGGGGTTATCTGTCCACTTTACAGAAATTACAGGGATTTGGAGTCATTTATTCCATATTTGCACTCTGTAATGACCCTGCAATTATTTAATGTCCTTCTGCTCCTCTGTAATCGGCAACCTGATGCAGAGTCACTTTGCCATTTTGCACACCCACACATGTTTTGGCTATCTGAAATACCAGGCCCTCTTCACACAAATGAACAGTACTCTAAGAGCATCGCCAAATGAGTATTAGTTGCCATGGTGCCAGCAGAGCATTTCCTAGACAACTAAGAGTCTGCTGTGCATCCCTTTTCACAGTCATTTTAGCACAGGAAACTCCAAATGAAAGTGTTTAGTTATTTTAGTCTGGCATCTGTGTCAGTAACATGCTAATGTTGACACTGGAATGAAAATGTAACATATTTTACCCAAGAATGTCTTTAGAAAAAATCACTGCAAGACAATAATAATCCTATGAAACCTGTTACTGCTTATATGATATTTTCACTCTGTGTATTTATGTTATTATTTTTTATTAATTTTAATCTGTTTGGAATACAATTAATAATTATTTCACACTGGAACAAGTAATAGGTTTATTCCATGCTGAAAAGAGAAGAAAGAAAACACAATGTTTCAGTTGTGAAGCCTTTTTCAAGTGTGTGGAAGGCTTCACAGTCAAAACGTTGTGTTTTCTCTCTTCTCTTTTCAGCATGGAATAAACCTATTACTTGTTCCTTTGCAGACTACGCAAGCTGACACGGCTACCCACCTGAATTATTTCATACTGCCTTACTACTGTATATACTGTAGGTAACTGTACATATACAATACAGTCTATATACTGTTAGTATACATAACAACATACAGTATACAGTAACTACATACCTTGTAACAGTATTCAGAAACGTTCAATTTTTTTGCAAGATTGAGGCTTGGAGATCACCTTCACAGCACTTTTCAAATCTTTTCACAGATTCTCAACAGGATTCAAGTCTAAATCTTTGACTTGGCCACTCAAGGGTGTTGCATTTCTCATTCTTCAGGTATTCCAGTGTAGTTTGGCCTTGTAATTTCAATCTTTGTCCTACTGAAAGCTTAATTTTTGTCCACGTTTTAGGCATAAAACACTACCACATCTTAAGGAAATACTTTATTTACCATGGTCAAAGAGATATTAAGAGATGTGAAACATTTTAATGCCCTTCGTCTGATCTGTTCTTTTATACAACTTTCTTCTTGAGGTGTTTTGAAAGCTCCTTTGTCATTACTGTTGAGTCTTTGCTTGAAATTCATCCCATCCCTCGGTGGGGGGACCTTACGGAGAAAGTAGGATTTATTTGGAAATAAAGAGAACCACTGTTATTGCACACAAAATCCTATTAGAGTAATTAAGTGATTTTTAATTTTGTGCAACTAAATTAATTTAGGTTTGCCACAGCTAACATTTTGTATAGTTATGAAATCTTGACTTTTTTATTTTTTTCTCATTAGTATTTCTTGCTATTTGTTTTGCTTTGTTTTTTTGCTTTGAATGCATGGAGTAGGTTGTTATAAATATTAACTGCTAATTAAATGCAAGCTTTAAAACAAAATGTGAAAACTGTGCAAGGGTCTGAATACTTTTGCAAGGTACTGTACAGTATATTAACAGTATACACTTCTGTGCTTTCCATTTAGCTGCCTTTAATAATTCATTACTCTCCTAGGGACAGATATCTTTCTAAAAACAAAGTCAAGAAGAATTAAAATCCTTAGACCAGTGTTACTCTGTATGGTTTAATAAAAGCCCCATTTCTGGGATTACAGTAATCAGTGCACTTCATAAGCATATGTCACTGTAACTATAGGGCCAACAAATTACATCATCCATACGATTTTGCTTTCTCCCTTTCTAGATGTTTACTGTTTTTATATTGAGAGCTGTTCACAAAAACTACTCTACTACTCTATGTACCAGAATTTGAAATGTGATATGGGTGCTTACACTATAAAGAAAATTGCTAGATGTATGCAGTCTTTTTGTGGACCTAATCTTCACTGCACAAAAACATGCAATATAATATATCCTTTTTTTGCAAAACCTCAAGAATATTTGGTTTGATTACTACAGCTCTATTCTTGGGTAAAGATTATTACAACCAGGACTGGCTTAAAATGAACTCTATAGTACCTCTGAGCAAAGTGTGTACACATTTTCCATATAATTTAATTAATATGGAGAAGGCAGTTTGCACAAAAGTATACTTAGAGGAAAAGTAGGGACCTACGTATAAATTAGGAGGAACATTACCTCCTTTTCTAAACTTCATCGTGGAGTGTTCTTACGAACTGATCATACAGTGAGCCAAAATGAATCCATATTTCAGGACTTCCTATATCCCGAAAGTAAATAATCAGATTCATTTTCAAAGAGAAAGGTATACATCTGTTCAAAAACAGATCATGAAGAGAGAAAGAAAGTACACTACAAAAGATCTACCCTTTCCAAAATATTTGAGAAGGAAATCTCAAGAAAGGGTTCTGACTAATATATTTGTATTTGTTCATTTTTTATATTGAGTATTGTGAGTAATTGATGCTGTATAATTACAGTATTTTAATACATTGTTCTTTTCTGTGTGTATCTTTTGTGATCAGAAAGTGCATACCAACCGATGTCTGCTTCCTTCCCTAAGACAATTTTTAACAGCAGTACATCATTTTAATGAATCCTAGTATGACCTCCAATACTTTTAGGGATTTCTTTTAAGGTTTTAAATTCTAATTTCAGTCATGATTCCAAAGGATACTAA